ATTTTAAATGAAACCAGAGAGTGTTGACAGAGAGGAGAAGGTAGAAACACCTCAGCCTGTAACTGTACGTTGGTTTAATAAACATATATGCACAAACAGTTTTAAAAAGCCCTTTTTTTACAACTGGGTAAGTGTGCAGCTCTATGTGGCCCTTTAGTAGTGTGAGCAAAAAATTGTGTCCCCTTTCATCATTTAAGTTGCCCCTCCCTGCTTTACAGTTTTCAACCAATTATTGCAGGTTTTTAGTTTCATAACTTCATCAGCCGTCTACCAGTGGCTCCAYCATGAGATACACCGCAGAACTGCACCTTAAATACTCTAACAGACACTATATTAAATTTACAGACAGTAAACAGAAGCGCTTCACCCTCAATGGTGACATTTCAGTTCATTTCTTAAGAGCAAATGACGACATTTACCTTGAAAATCTTGTTAATTTGGTCAATTTCAGATTTTCCAGGGAAAAGAGGTTTCTGGGTGAGGAGCTCGCCAAATATGCAGCCCACTGACCACATGTCCACAGCTGTGGAGTACTCCTGTGGAGAGAAGAAAAAACACAGCGGTAATCCGCAGCAACATCAACAAGACAGTCTGCTTGGCACGGGGCTGCTCGAGCTTGTCTCGTGTGTGAAAAAAGATGTTCTTTGATGGCGTGCTGGGCCTCTTCAGTTTGGCTGCATCAATTCTACACTTTACAGCTCCAATAGCATTTTGTGGTATTTGAATCTTACAAGCCAAATGGTTTACAGATGTCGTCTTTAAAAGAAAATATATCTCTGCATGTAACAGAAAAGATGACGGAATCACGTCAACTAAAATTAATCTCCAGCGTTTGCGGTTCCAGCTCTAGTACAGGTATCTGACCTGGATCTGGTGGTTTGAGTAAATTTGAATTCTCACCTTGGCTCCGAGCAGCAGCTCTGGTGATCGGTACCACAGAGTCACCACGACGGGGGTGTACGGCTTCAGAGGGGAGCCGTACTCTCGAGCCAGGCCGAAGTCCCCAATCTACAGTGCAGGAAAAATTAAATTAAAAAAATGTTTGAGACCACAAAATGTTACTGTTTATCCATCTTTTACACAAACGTTTCCTTTTAGGTAGAGTTTAAATGGCCTGTCTGTGAAGGGAGAAAAAAAACATGCTAAATCATGAACTTGGATAATCAGAGGGACTTAGATCCTCTTAAGAAGAAAGAGGTGACAGAGAAAACAACTTTGATTTTGTGAGTCAAAAGCTTAAAAGTAGCATATGATGCTTTTAAATCCTTCCTTTTCACATCTAAATCCTTCAGTTGGGGTCTTTATAAAGCAGAACTGCAACGCTTTGGTCTGAATTCCTTCTTATTGCAACTTCACAATCCCCTCTTTCACCCGTTTTCTGTTGTATCTTAGATCAWCTCGTTTTGACGCTGCCTCTTTAAATGCAAATGAGGGGCTTCACTCCTAAATTCAAATGTTATGCACTCCTAGAGACTCCATGTACACAACAAAATGTATTTAACAAGTAAAAAAAAGTGTATTTTACATATGTACCCTTTAAAATATGAGCTTATAGTGTAGAAAACCATCCAATTCCTTCTAATTCCAAAATAAAACTCATTTAGAGGAAATGTCATATATCACTCAGACAACCCGTTTAATTTTAATGGCCTCTGATAAAAACTGCAGCACCTGCTAACCTTGAGGATGCCTTTATGACTCAACAGTAAATTGGACGTCTTCAAATCCCGATGAAGTATCCAGTTGTCGTGGAGATGTCGAACGCCTCGGAGAAGCTGAATCATAAGAGTTTTTACTTCCCCTGAAAGAAAACAATAAAAGCTTTAATGCCCTGTCACACTAGACAACTTRTGCCAATTTATGAATATGTTAAAGACATCTACATTGAAGATGGAATTGAATAAATCAACAAGAAGCTTCTTTTCGCCGTGTACAAAATGTAATTTGAACAAATTGATCAAATAAATAACTTTTATTAGCAATTTAGACAGCAGTGCTCTAGAATGTGACTTATTTGGTCACAAATGTGACCTTATTTTTTTTTTGTTGTTGTTGTTCACTGCGCAGTGAATAAACCGTTTTTTTGTTTTTTCCAAACCAGAGTTGGAAAAACTTGGATTTTTCCAAGTTATGTTGTTATGTTATGTTATTTTTATTTAAAAAAAAAAAACTTTTTCTCATTTAATAAATATTAGTAATATTTCTGTTATTAATCATAATTCTCTGTTCATCATTGTGGTTTAGCCAAGGCCAAAGATCCTGAAGGCCAAACTACAGGAGTTGTCTATCTGAGGGGCAGGTGTCGAAAAGACAAGAAATATTTAAGATGTTTATAAAATGTTCAACCCGTAAACATTTGCACTTAGAAATGAGAATTTCTTTCATTTCATTTATCTTGAGATGTTTAAGTAAAGATTTCAGGTCATAGAATCCTAAAAATTACTTTTCAGTAAGTTATATGTCTAYGACTCTGGCTCAAATAYAGAAMTTTATTTTTGCTAGATTGTTACCAAATTATTTGTGAGTTAATAGCTGTGTCCAAAACGACAGGCCGGGTCCTCCGGAGGACCCAGACTCCCCGGTC